CACAGAAGCAGTTCCGGGGGAATTATGAGGTCAGCGTTGCACATGCGCCGGTGAGTCTCGTGAAAACCAACATTTGTTTACAGGATCAAAAGAAGCAAAGTTTCCTTACTTCAGCAAAGGAAAACCAGTCTCCTCTTGACTTATATCGAAATCCTCCGACATTCTTCTTTACACAAATCCTCGTTTTGTACTGAGTTTGATTCCACCCTCCTCCCCTGGTTATACAAGGTACCAACGGCAAATAATACGCTGCCATTAATAACAGTTATACTCTGAGAATGCAAAGATGTATATTACACGTCATCAATTGCAGTTTACTTCCATAAGTTATGATGGATTGCTGGGGCCTCGTTTATAAAATGAGCATACGCACAGATTTGATCTTAGAGTGTGCGTACGCTAAAATCCATGGCGACGTTCATATTTATAAAAACGGTCTTTGACGTGGAAAAGTACTTACCGCCACGTCAGGGTCTGAGCAGGCGTACGCACTTTTCCTTGTGGCAAAGTCGGAGTACTGCAGCTATCTGAACATCGAAGCTGCAATAATAATAAAATCGGTGTACGTGCAAGCACCAAATTCATCATAAACAACAAAGATGCAGTGTAGTCAGATTTTTTATTAACGGGAGTTTTTGCGAAGATTAAACTGAACGTTTTAGTAGCCTTCTTTATTCACTTTCTGTACAGTTTATTCCATGTTTTTTTTATTTAATTTTACAAGAGAACTTGCGAAGTCTTGATTTACTACTAAGTAAAATAGAAAAAACCGCATCTCCGACTATTTTGTCTGTGTAGCTTATAAGATGTCGTCCAATATATCGGTTTTAATATATTCTATTCAATAACATTGTTAACTGTTTTTATTTATAACATCTGCTGCTTTGCTTCTGTGAAAATGAATGGAGCCATCAGCCGTAAACTTTGTTTTTGTCATTTACATCAGTTATATTTGTCTAAAATACACTATATATTTTTGTGTCAGTACATTAAAGGCACATTTGAGCAGCATTAGTAAACTGTGTAAATATAAAGAAATGCCAAATCACATGCATTCAGACCGGAGACCATAATCGTGTAATAATTCATTTTATTATGATACGAAACGTCCAATTTTTTTTTCAACAATGTTTTTTAAAGTTTTGCAAGAATTTCGTGATACTAAACTTTTTATTAGTTGTCATAGCAAGTGATTTTAAAAGTAGGATGGCTCACTTTTTATAAGATTATACTTGAATTCGTAGTTTATTCTTATTTTTGGAAACCTAATCGTTTTATAATTACTATTATTACTATTTCTGTTGTTTCTAGAAGTAGTGATTTTCACGAACCTCTACCTCCGCCAGCAGGAGGACCTCAATTTCAGACTTTTCTTTGCGCGCGTTATTCTCAAGCATAGAAATTCGGATATTGGTGTGTGCTCTTTTATATGGTAATGATATTAATTAGGGGGGCGTTTACAAGGCGGAGATCTGACGCCAGTCAGCTGCGCACAATTTCAAGATCATTTGCGATTTATAAATGTCACACCTGTAAGAGAGGCGTACGCACCTGTTTTTGTGTGCACGTTCGTTTTTCTCTGAATCGCACTTACGCACTTTTGAGAAATTATCTTAGAACAAATTCAGGACTGTTTATACGCAACATTTTATAAATGAGGCCCCAGGTGTGTTTAACTGGGGTTGGAGTTGAACTCTGCTCCTGGAGGGCCACTGTCTTACGGTGCATGAGGAAAATTTAATAAATTCTCACTGAGATAATACAGAGAGCCCAGAAAAATAAAGTTCTCATGCCGTTTATCAAAATGATTTACAGTCATTTTGATGGAAAATGCTACAAACTGGGATAGTTGGAATGTTTTTTTTTCTTTCAAATAACTCGTGTCATCTCGTCCCCAGGTTCTGAAGGTCATAGCATTAGAGTTCTACCTTGCTCAAAGATACGCAACTATGTGAGCGCACGCTTTGCGTTGTTGCATTTGACGTATCAAAGTGCAGTTCGTAACACAATGCAAGTACTTTACATGTTGCATTCTCAGAACTGTCACAAGGGGTGCTATAGCACGCATTAGCATGAACTTCGTCCTCCAATGGTCACTTTTT